AGTTTTTTCTTTTAGTTTATCAGTTGTTTTTGAAGTTGTCTTTAGGTGCATACACCTTTTGAATTGTTATATCTTCCTGGTGAGCTGGTCCTTTTATCATCATGAGATGTACATCTTTATCTCTAGGAATGTTTCTTGCCTTAAAGTCTGTTTTGTCTGATGTTACTGTTATAACAGCTTTCTTTTGGTTCGTGTTCACACAGTTCATCTTTTTCTATCTTTTTACTTTAAACTTTTGTAGCTTTACATTTAAACGTCTCTTGTAAGTAGTGTTTTTTTTTTAACCCATGGTGACTAATTCTTTTTTCATTTTATTGAAGCATAATATATGTACGGAAAGGTGCACATAGATTTGGAGTTTGGAAAATTGTGTCATTTGGAAAATGCCTGACCACTGTTTCTTTAAAGCTGCTTCTGTGCTCTTCTTTCCTCTCCTGTATCTTATTATTATTATTTTTTGGTGAATCCTCTCCCAAGAATATTGTTTTTCCATTGATTTTAAGAGAGAGTGGAAGAGAAGAAGGGAGGGAGGGGGGAGGGAGAGAGAAACATTGATGTGAGAGAAACACATCAATTGGTTGCCTCCTGTACCACCAACCAGCAGCAGGGCCAGGGATTGAACCTGCAACCCAGGTACATGCCCTTGATCCGGAATCGAACCCGTGACTCTCTGGTTCGTGTACCAGTGCTCTAACTGCTTAGAAACACCGGTCAGGGCTCTATCTTACTTCTTTGACCATTTCCCCACGTGTTTTACACTTTCCCCCCGACATTTTCCATTTTGTTTCTCTCCATGCTTCAGCCTGGGTGCTTTCTCCTGACCGTTTTCCTGTTCACAGTGCACTCTTCTGTTGTGCTCAACACGTTCTTATTTCAGAAATTGCATATTTTAGTTATAGTTGCCATTTGATATTTTTGTGGTAAAAACACGTATCATTAAATCTGCCATCATAGCCATTTTTAAATATCCAGCTCAGTGGCATTATGGGCACTTGCATTGTTGGGCAGCAGATCCCTAGAGCAGAGAATGAGGAGTGGGGGAGGGTGGGCAGGCCTACGACACGGAAGGAAGGGTTTCAGCAGCCGAGGTGTGAGGTGACTCGGGTGCTCACAGACTGGGGAGTTGTGCTGGACTCCGGCATGACTGTGCCCCGCTGTGCCCGGGACGTGGGACTCCAGTGCTAAGACTGGGCAAGTTCCAGGCAGACTCGGGTGAGCTGGCCACACTGCCTGGCGCTGGGTTTGTGGAGTGTAGGGTGAGCCTGCCTGGAGTTAGCAAGAACGGGACCACGGTGTCCCCAGCTCCTCTCCCTCCCTCACCCCAGGCGGTTGCCATGACACTGCCCCTCTCCCCCTCAGATTCGGTGAGCCTTGCCTACCAGCGGGTACAGAAAGTAGACTGTACCTCCCTGAGGCCCGTCCTGATCCTCGGGCCGTTACTGGACGTGGTGAAGGAAATGCTGGTGAACAAGGAGCCCAGCAAGTTCTGCAGATGCCCCCTGGGTAAGGGCCCCCATGCTCGTCCCCGTGCCCCTTCCCTCAATCTCCTGGGCCGGATCCCAGCGTTCCCGAGCCCTTCTGACTGGGGTTAGACGGGGAGTAGCTTGCGGCTTTCTCTGGAGAGAGGACGCAGGACTGGGTGCTAGGGCCCCTCTGCAGAGTTCCCTGCAGGGCGCTCTGCGGTGCCGCCTGCTGAGCCTGTGTCTGCTTACAGAGGTGATGAAGGCCTCCCAGCAGGCCATTGAGCGAGGCGTCAAAGACTGCCTGTTTGTCGACTATAAGCGCAGGAGCGGCCATTTCGACGTGACCACGGTGGCTTCCATAAAGGAGATCACAGAAAAGGTACCCGCTGCTTCAGACCGAGGGTTTGCACCTGTTGTAGCCTTTGGTGCTGCCCCGTGCAGCCCCAGACCCTCGGTGAGCTCACCCGTGCCCTTCAGTCCAGATGAGCCTGCTTGGGGCTGGCCCATGGCTGCTCTGTGCTTCCACTTTCATGAAGAGGAAGCTGGTCAGGGAGAGGGGTCAGGGGTCACCCAGTGTAGGGGGTGTAGGAGAGGGTGCAGGAGTCACCCTGTGTAGGGGGTGTAGGGGATGGTGAAGGAGTCACCCTGTGTAGGGGGTGTAGGGGAGGGTGCAGGAGTCACCCTGTGTCCCCCAGGGACAGTGCCCGTGCCCTTCAGTCCAGATGAGCCTGCTTGGGGCTGGCCCATGGCTGCTCTGTGCTTCCACTTTCATGAAGAGGAAGCTGGTCAGGGAGAGGGGTCAGGGGTCACCCAGTGTAGGGGGTGTAGGAGAGGGTGCAGGAGTCACCCTGTGTAGGGGGTGTAGGGGATGGTGAAGGAGTCACCCTGTGTAGGGGGTGTAGGGGAGGGTGCAGGAGTCACCCTGTGTAGGGGGTGTGGGGGAGAGGTCAGGGGTCACCCTGTGTAGAGGGTGTAGGGGAGGGGGCAGGGGTCACCCTGTGTAGGGGGTGTAGGGGAGGGGTCAGGGGTCACCCTGTGTAGGAGGTGTAGGAGGGGGTGCAGGAGTCACCCTGTGCATGGGGTGTGGGGGAGGGTGCAGGGGTCACCTTGTGTAGGGGGTGCGAGGGAGGGGTGCAGGAGTTACTCTGTGCACGGGTGCCTCTTCCAGGGAGGTCTGCAGCTGGATCCCATACACGTCTGCTGAGCTGGATGCAGAGATTTCCTGTGCCTTTGCTGGGACAGGGCCCATGGCTTCCGTCCAGCCCCCACTGGGCGCTGGCTCCCAGCCTTGACCCCACAGTGCCCACAGCTGTGGGGGGAGTTTGGGGTTAGCTTCCCACGGTTTGTCATGCCTCGTCTTCATGAGAGATGGTCGCGCTTCTTTGTTCACGGGTGGAACTTGGTGTTTGTTTGTGGAGCGAGGAAGCGCCTGTGAGGGGACAGGTGGGCCCCATTGGTGGCAGAGAAAGTGGAAGTGTCCCCAGAAGGGCTGCGGTGTTTCCGAGGCCCGGCCCCCAGGCCTGGCCCCGGCGCTCACTCTCCGCCCGCCCCCCGCAGAACTGGCACTGTCTGCTGGATGTCGCCCCCCACGCCATCGAGCGGCTGCACCACATGCACATCTACCCCATCGTCATCTTCATTCACTACAAGAGCGCCAAGCACATCAAGTAGGTGGGGGCTCCTGGGCCCGGCCCGGGGCCTGGCTGGGCGGCTGCTCCCACGGCCAGGGTGGTGGTGCTGGGGCGTCGGGTGGGAGTGGAAGAATGAGACCAGCCTGTCGGCCTTGGAATAGGCAGCACATGCAGAACGACTCTTCCTCAAGCCTCAAGCTGCTGACACGTTCAGAGCCGGGCAGTGTTAGCCCGGCTCACCCCTCCCTGCCTGCCCCCCTCTGCCCTGTTTGGGTGCTGCCCTAGCTCTGAGTAGGTCCAGCTTTGTCTGCAGAGCTCCTCTCCCGCCCTGTCCCCATTCCCTTTCCTGCCTCTCAGCTGGTGCTCACAGGACACAGGAGCTAGGGGGCCTGGGCGCCCAGCTCCGCCAGAAGCAGGCTGTGTCGTAGGTGAGCCTCTGCTCCCCGACCTCCAGTTGGGCTGACAGCTCATCAGGGCCCCTCCCTTTTGCCTGTTTGTGCTTCCAAGTGTCTGGTACCTGCTCTCGGGGGCCGATGGGGTGTCTGCTCGTTAAGTGCGTGCACGGGGGTGCCCCCCTCTACCTCTGCCCAGAGCTCCCCATGGAGCCTGCAGGCTGTGCTTACAAAGGGAGCACACGGGGATCCTGTTACTCTGGACCAGGGGTCCTCAAACTTTTTAAACAGGGGGCCAGTTCACTGTCCCTCAGACCGTTGGAGGGCCAGACTATAGTTTAAAAAATACTATGAACAAATTCCTATGCACACTGCACATATCTTATTTTGAAGTAAAAAAACAAAACGGGAACAAATACAATATTGGTATTTGCATGTGGCCCGCGGGCCGTAGTTTGAGGACCCCTGCTCTGGACAAAGGAACGGAAGAGGAGATGCCGGGGAAGTGCGAGGCTCACTCGGTTCCCTGCATGTCCCCACAGGGAGCAGAGAGACCCCGTGTACCTGAAGGACAAGGTGACACAGAGGCATTCCAAAGAGCAGTTTGAGACGGCTCAGAAGATTGAGCAGGAGTACAGTAGGTACTTCACAGGTAGGTGTGCGTCGCTCGGGGAGCAGCAGGTGGCAGGGAATCGGGTGTCCCGAAGAGAATTAGAAGTGGCACAGCCCATGCTTGCTGGGGGCCGGTGATGCCCCTGCCAACATCATTTCAGGTGCTCTGATGGCAGGCGCAGGGCAGTGTCAGGAATTCAATAGGTTGAGGGGTAAAGCTCCCTGATTTGGCCTTAGGCCATGGTCTGGCCTGTCCACCCAGGTCTGTCACGTGTGCAGTGGCAGGTCTGTCTCACAGCCTGTAGCACAGCTTCCGGGTTCCCGGGCGGCAGCACAGGGCAGCTCTGACCCTGTGCTCCCAGCACCTCCAGGCAGGTCAGTTTGACCTTGAGGTTTGGTGAAGAAAAGCTGCGACCTTACCATCCCTGGTCTTTGAAGCGAAGCAAACGGCCACAGGCCTGGCCCAGCTGCTAGCTGTCACTGACCCTTTCAGCCTCTTCCACAGCGTTAGTCATTGTGGGGGGTTGGGGTTGTTGGCGCGGAGAGGTGTGGCAGTGATTGGTGTGGCATGGAGGCTGCTGGGATCTGTGCTTCGCGTCCAGTGGTTGTTCTCAGAACCAACCTTGGTGCTTCCCCGTGGATGTGTGTGTGTGAATTTCCAGTCCACCACAGACTAGTATTTCAGTCAAATATTTTAACAGTTACTAGAGAAATGAAGATTTAAAACTCCAAACTTATAAAATACAGGCCTTGCTTCTTTATTAGATTCAACAGACAGATTCTGTTACATGTCTATAGCAGTTTCTAGCGCTCCCCAGCAAGTCCTGGTCATGCCTGTGGCGGGCACCTGGGGCACGCTCTGTCCATTGCGTGTTCTGTGCAGCACACTGAACACCCTGGCTGGTGTCTCAGGGCCCGTGGTGTTGAAAGCCTGTGAGCAGGGCTGCAACATACATGGAAACATCACTTGTTTGCTGGGAATCCTCTCTGGTCCATGGGATGCCCAGTTCCTAACCCCTGTTTCCTGCACAATTCTGCTGTGGATCAGACCTTCATAACGCCCCCAAATGGCTTTCTGATGTGCTGGGCTCTCCAGGGGCAAGACTGGGCACCAGGCCGACTCGGATGTCATGCCCAGGGTTACATCTGGCTACCCTGTGACGGGCTGGGGAAGCCTGGCAGTTTGACACCCACCTTCATTCAAGCCCATACTTCCAGCATCCTTCTGAACAGTGGACCAGAGGGACAGATAAAAAGCCAAAGTGATTTGTATTCAACTCCTTTTCTTCCCCAGTTTCTTGCTGATGGAAGAGAGTGGATGGCAGAGAGGCAGGAGCTCAAAATAGGCGGAGAAGCAGAAAGAGTAGATAGAGGGTGTATTTATTGGCCTCGAACCTGGGGTCTTCCTCTGTTGCAGGGGTCGTCCAGGGAGGAGCTCTGTCGAGCATTTGCGATCAGATCGTGGCCTTGGTCAGCCAAGAGCAGAGCAAAGTCCTGTGGATTCCAGCCTGCCCGCCGTAGGCCGCTGTGCTGGGAACAGAGGCAGCTTGTCACCAGCGTCCGTCCTGGCTCAGCTTCTCTGACTGAAAGTCCATCGGAGTATGAGCACCGGAGGAGGCTCCACCAGCAGGGCCCCAGACAGTGGGCCGCAGACGCACAGACCGTCTTCCTCACACGTGTGCTTTAAGACAAAAACAGTAACCACCCGGGACTCCTGCTAGAGGTTCCACACCAGCCTTCCGAGGCCGCGATCCGCGATGCTGCAGAGAACCTTTCATATCCCAAGTTTACAAGCCTTTCTAAGTATTTGGTTGTTTCTGTTTACTTGAACGGCCCATGTTGTTGGTGGCCAGCCCCTACCCCTGTCCATCCCGTGTTGCTTTCGTGTTTTGGTTTTGTTCCTGTTTTCAGCAAAACAACTCTGGAACCTCAATGGGCTGCTCTGCTCTGGAAGGTTCGTGGTGGGACCAGAGCTCTGAAAACCTCACCTCCTCGGTGGCGTCTCTCCCAGAAGGACAGCGCCATGGCAGATGCTTGGACGTCGGTGGTGGCAGAACCAGTGCCTTCGTGGGGCCGACGCGCCAGCGGCAGTGGTTTCCCTGCCCACACCAGGGCAGGCGACACTGGCATCTCACAGACTCGTCTCAGACCTTCCCTCCTGCCTGCACGCCCTCTCATCTCTCCTCCACCTGCCTTGATCGTTTCCGCCTCTCTCTGTCCTTCGGAGCCGCCCGGGCTCACACCGCCGACTGGTTCTGGCAGGAGGCTCAGCCGATGCATGCTGTTGGTCCTCTGTAGGTTCTGTAAATAGAGACAGCCTTTCTCAGTGCAATGTTTGCAGGGTACTTCTCAAACTGTAGAGGGAGCAGACACGTCAGCTCTTTTGGACATGGAAAATGTTTCAAACTTTGATAGTCTTTGGGGAAGCCTAGTGGTTAGTGTTGTCGCTGTCGAAATCTAAAAAGCAGGCAGGATCCTTTAGTCTTGGCTGCAGCGCTCCGGCATGCCCAGTGCTCCTTGAAGATGTCTTTGTTGGGACTTTTGTCTTTTCTTTTTTTTTGCACTTCTGACGCTGGGTATCTCTGGCTGCAGATTTGATGTGGTTCCTCCCTAAACTGTGCATCCTGTTGTTAATAGGTACTGTACTGGGCTCCGTGTGTCACTGGGGTAGGACTATATTTTAATACTGTTCCTAACATTTCATTTTACTAGCGAGAAATCCTTGATTTCATTTTATCCTTTGTAATTCTAGACACTAGATGATAGTGTAGCCATACTGACATTTTTTAAAAAGGGATATATTTTCTTGCACAGTTGTTCAAAGAGAGACACGCCTGGGTCCTCAATGCTGCCCTTCGTTTTACAGGTACAAGTTTCTAGCTCAGACAGCCGAGACATGAGGCTGTCTCGAGTCTTACGCGCTATCAGGGCGTTGCTCTGAGCTGCAGACAGTGGGACTGTGATGGTACAGTGTGCACAGGTACTGTTCCGACAGACTGGGATTTTCTGTAATGAAACCTTACTTTGTATCAAAAGCAAAACAGACTTTAGTACAATAAATAAAGGTCAATTTCTGTAACTGGTTGTGATGAAGGCGCCTGTACTTACTGTTTCCCGTCTTTTCCTGCTTCTTCCTAAATTCCTTCGTCCCCGGCAGCAGGAACCAGCTGATGTGTGGGCTCTTTCCAGCTCCAGTGTAATCAGTAGCCCCTTTTCCTGCCGCATCAGCCTCTCTCTGACTCCTCCCCTCCCATGCGACCATCCTTGCGTCCTTCCATCCGCCCATCCGTCCAGCACAGCGTGGGTGCGGCTGCAACCAGGTGGCTGATTGCAAGACTCAGATCCTGCCCTCAGGTGCTCACATTCAGGCCTGCAGGTTTGGGCCCTGGAAAGCAAAGGGGAAGGGACCCCATAATGTTCCCAGTCAAGGCCTTGTCTGCAGGAGGAAGGCCCAGCCTGGAGTGAGGTGGGCAGCCTGGCGGGGCTGTGACAATGCCCCCAGCGCTGCAGGGATCTCCGGGGCAGCCTGTGTTCCAGGGGCGGGGAGGCTGGGAGAAGTAGCCGGGATGCCAGGGCTGCCGCAGTCAAGGCTCCAAGGCCTGGGGCACTGAGGAGCCCTCCTCTTCTCTGTGTGGAGGAGCTTGGGGGTCTGGGAAAGCCTCTTGCTGCTGTGGGGACAGGCCAACCGCTGGTCCTTTCCTGCAGGTTCCATCGTGGACCCGCACTTAGCCTCACCTGTGGTCTGCTGGCTGGGACCCAGGGCACAGCCCTACCCACATGCATCCAGCCACAGAGCTGCCCACACCTCCTTGGCAGCCCAGACGCAGCGCTGTTCTCAGGGGGAGTTGCTGCGACAGTTTTGTCACCTACAGGGTAAATGTATGCAGGGAACGCTGCTTGTTTCAGGAACGGGTTCTTTTAAAGAGCTCAGTCATGTTGCCCAAACCGTAACAGTTTGCACTTGGGGCATTATTGCTGGAGGCTAATTCCAGCATGTCATAATAAATGCAAGGAGTTCATCAAAAGGTTGATGGAACTTGAGGCTTCAGCAGGGCTGAATCATATTACCTGCTGCTGGAATAGCTGAAAGCTTTTCCCCAAACCTGAAGATCTGCACATATTATAGCCTGCTGCCCGACAGCTGAGGGCAGTTCCCCCAACCTGATCATCTGTTTACCAAACTTTACCTTTGATATGTATATCTGCTTTGCTAGAGGACAAAATGTGGGAATAAAAAGCCCTGGGTGCAGAGATTCGAGGAACATAGTTACTAAAGCTAAGCTTCCTCCAGCTCCCCCAAAATGCCTTCCAATTTATATTTCATGTCTAGTGTCTAGCCTCTATTAATTTACTCGCAGTCCCTTCAGATTCCTGAATAATTCTAGATGCTTGAGAACGACCCCGGCACATTATGAGTAATTTTATTTTCTTTAGATGTATTTTCCAAATTTTCTATGGGAAACTTGGTTTTCTTTTATAATTACAGGGCAAAATTCATTCCACCTTTTAAAAATGGAGGGAGGGCCAGTCAAGTTGCTGAGCCCATACGCTTTGGGGATGCACCAAGGCCGTGCAGGGCAGCCTGGGCACACTGCCAGCAGCCTGGGAGGGGATTCCTGCTCTGCTCTGAGCCACTGAGACCAGGTGGGGGTGGGGTGGGGGGCACTGTTCCCTGAGTCTCCCTCAGTTCGGCGTCTGTCGCCTGCAGGCTCAGGTCTTTCTGGAAAGGCAGAGCTGACAGCTCCAGCCATGAGGCCTTAGTCGGTTGCTCCTGGCCTCGGTGTCCGGGCCTTCAAAGACAGCACAGACTGCGTGATCTCCAAGGCCCCTTCTTGTGCTGACCCCTGTGCCCACCTCCCCCAGCCCTGCAGAGGCTGAGCAAACCCCAGTTCCAGGAGCCCTGACGCACGTGGCTTGTGGGAGGCTGGGGGCGAGTTTGAGGCCGGATGCTTAGGAACAGAAACGGAAGGAGCCTGGGTTAGGAGCTAAGACTGGCCCAAAGCCTCGGGCCTCTTCTTGGCCGAGAAAAAGCTCCAAGGCTGAGCAGAGTGGCCAACTGCAGTTTGGTGCTAGGAAGCTGAGCTGCTGCCCCCAGTGAGTTGACAGGGTAGAGGGCCACCTGGGTCACGGATGCCAACCGAGGAAGCACAGGGTGGGGCTCATTTTCCTTTACTAGTATATTACTCTCTGTGGGGCCTGGAAGGGCCTCGGATGCATACCTCATTCCTTTCAGACGCCTCCCCTTCCAGTCTGTGGGTGTCGGTCAGGCTTCAACAAGAGAGGCAGAACCAGTACAGAATATATGTAAATGTGCATATTTATTGCAAGCAATTTGCTTATGGGTTGTGGGTGCTGGCTAAGCAAGCCTGAAACCCACAGGGCCAGTGGCCAGAACAGAAGACCACAGGCAGGGGGAACTCACAGGCGAAGTTTTCTGAGGCAGACCGGAGGGAAAGTGTGAGCAGGATGGGTTTCACAGGAACGGGTGGGACTGCTGGTCACAGGCTCAATTTCTTTTTTTCACGGAAGCTTCAGCTTTTAAGGCTTCTGCTTCTGATGCCTTTCAGCTGATTGAACCAGGCCCGCCTACGTTATCCAGGATGCTCCCTGGGATTATCCGCAATGTCTCATTAGGGGCTCTTATTGCACCTGCCAAATCCCTTCACAGCAGCTCCTGGCGTAGTGTCTAATTCCGTAACTGGGGGCTGCAGCCTAGCCGAGTTGACACAAGAAAACAAAAAACAGCCAATAAATTAATTAACCAGTTCTCAGCAGATGGCCATTTGGATGAAGTTTGTAGTTGTGTTTATAGGCTTATTTAACTTCAGAGAAACTTCTATGTGGAGATTATAGTTTACAGATAAAGACATTGAGGCTTTAGGCCGTTAGAGTAAATTGCCTGAGTCCCCTATCCCCACCCCCTTTTTGGCCATGTTACCTTTAGGATTGTCAACATAAGACACATTCAAACCTATAGGGAAATTTTGTGAGTTTATTTGACCCAAATTGTCGACAATTGCCGGGAAGCAAAATTTCAACAGATTGACATATTGCTCCAAAGAATGGCAAGCTTGCACCTTATTTTATACATCACACTCAAAAGAGGAGATGCAAGTGGTTGCATGAAATCCGCTGGTGATAGATGAGGGAAATGGGAGAAAGCAAAGCGGGGAAGCCTCTGGCATTGGATGAAAAGTAAAATGACAGACACATACATCTTTTACATACTAGTAGGTGGGTGTGGGATAGTTAACAGTCAATAATTAACTCAATAACAATGAGGGGATTTGTGGTCTCCACAGAGTGGTGTCTGGCTTTGAGGGGACCAGAAAAAGGAAAATTGCTTTGACATTCCAAAGAGATGTTACCACAGATGCAAAAAGACATTAGACAGGTTCACTTAAGGTAAAGATTGACCTTTGTCAGGGAAGATGCCAGCCTAGGACATGACTACCTGCTATAAACTGCTTTTAGTTAAAAAGTTTTAATTTCAGACCATTCTTTGTGGTTACTTTAGGTCTCTGAGTTTGCAAGGCCACCACGCAGGCCTTCCCTGAGCTTGTCAGGTTAGCATGTGTCCCCTTTTTGTCCATACGTACCCCTTTTGGCCATAAATCAATCCAAAGGATGCAATGATGATCAACCTTTTGGTTGGATAACAAGGTCCCACAGTGCTAGGAAGGCTCATTCCTAGGAAATCTCAGTGTTTGCCTTGCTGCAAATGGATCATTGGGGATCGGGCAAGACCATAACCTTGGATGGAAGTCGAGGCCAAATTTTTTTCCTCCAAAGTGAAAGGCAGGTAAATGGGAGGCAGTTAGGCCTTATGGGTCTTTATTAAGAAAAACACTCTCAGTGGTTCTCAACCTTCCTAATGCCGCGACCCTTTAATACAGCTCCTCATGTTGTGGTGACCCCCAACCATAAAATTATTTTCGTTGCTACTTCATAACTGTAATTTTGCTACTGTTATGAATCGTAATGTAAATATCTGATATGCAGGATGTATTTGCATTGTTCGTGACCCGCACATTGAGAACTGCTGGAGACTCTGTAGTATTATGGGAGGCACCTTGATTTTATAGTTACTAAATATAAGTGGATGGACATCTCCTGGTTGTAAGTTGTGGTCTTTGGAAACTTCGTCTGCTGGAGCACACTGTGAAATGAATGTTACTGCTTTATCAGTCCCTATAACCTTGTTAATGAGCCATTGATAATAATGCAGAATGTCTCCTTTTAGTTTCCTTACAGTTGGAAAACAAAAAGATTTAAAAATCAATACTTAAAACAGGGTCACAAGAATATTCTCAGTTCATTTAGTCCCATAACCAATTTTTTTTGTTTATTCTGATTATTTGCCAGTATTTTCATGAATTCAGTTATTCCTTAGAGTTCTATAAATCTCCATCTAGGTCAAAGATATGACCTGCTTAGAAATGTCTAATTTAGAGCAGGTCAGAGTCCTTTTCATGTATTTTTCTAAAGATGTAACATATCTGCAAATGCATCAGAGTAAAACATGACTGTCTATAAATGACAAAACTTAAAGTGGCATAGTTATAAGTTTGATTATAATGCAATTGATAAAAAAACAAAAAACACCTTGCTTCTTTGTAAGACATAACATTTCAAGACAACAATTTCTCGGTAAATAATAATTTACCAAGAAAGAGAATAATATAAAGTCCATATATATATTTAGATTCAATACACAATTTCAATATATAAAGAACAGATAATATGCAAGATTTTAACATGCTGCACATGGCTTATCGGCAGTGTACATTGAGCACTGGCAATAATTCATAAACTCCCAATGTCCAAAGTCCCACTGCCGGATGCCCCCACAGGGAATCCTCACGTGTGGCTTGCCTGGTGTCACTGGCAGGACACTTGCTACCCCTGGGAGCTCCCTGTTTGAACTTGGCTCTGAATCTTTGCAAGTTCCTCCCTAGGGCAGGATGAAATGTTTATAACACCCACTTTAATAAAAATATATGTATACAAATAGAACAATTTTATTTTATTATCATTATTTTGGTGAAGCTTCCCATGTAATTTCAAGCATATTAAATAGGCCT